TTTGACATTAATGATCCACCGGCAGCAACGTCAATTATCAATCTAAGGGATCCAACCAATCTATTATAAAAAGTTTGAATTATTAACCAATCTGACAACACATGGTGTGGACACTTCCTAAGGAGATCTTTAAATATTTCTCAGGTTTCATAAATTGATTCCCCTTCAAACTGATAAAAAGATGTAATATTATTTCTAAGCTTAGCAGTTTTTGAATGTGGGAAATATTTAGATGAAAATTTTTGTGATAAGTCTCCCCAAGTTCTGATAGATCCTGGTGCTAATGAGTTTAATCACATCTTAGATTTATACCTCAGTGAAAAAGGAAAAAGCCTAAGTCTGACAACATCATTCAACACTCCATCATATTTAAATGTAGCACACAATTCTAGAAAACTAGCAAGGTGTAAATTTAGATCTTCATTTGGTGTTCCTCCAAATTGATTGTTTTGTGCCATTTAGATAATAATAGGTTCAAGCACAAATGAATTGGCAGCTACAACTGGGTTTTGTGTACTTAAATGAATTTCATCTGTTGTAGGATTAACATAATCCTTTAAAGGTCTATGATAATGTTCATTATCATTTCCAACATTACTTGAGTTTCAAGCCATTTTGCTAGAATGATTTTTCTCTTTTTGTTGTTTTCGAATTTTTCTAACAGTTCTTTCTAATTTATAATCGTAAGATACTAAATTTTTAGATCTTATATTACACATAAACAAAATAAAATAAGTTCTTAAAAATAAGTGATACACTTAAACAAGAAAACTTTCAAACTAAACTACAAATGCTTTTTTTCTTTTTTTATATTTTAAAATAAAATTACTAATATTTTCTGTTACTTCCCCGACAATGGTGCCAAAAACTTGATACGGGATTTGAGAAAATTGATTCTAAATTAATAATAATGATGCAATGTAACCCAAATAATAATGTAACTTTGATGAAAATAATTTATCTTTAAAATCTCATTTAAAGTCTCAATTCTCTTTTACATATAAGGCGAGTATACGTATTGTTCAAGTCATAAAGGGCTCTAATGGAGTCCTAGATATTGATCCCACAGGGAAGCTGAAAATATATATAAGCTAGCTATTTATATTCTATTATAAATTAAAAAAAAAACTTAGTAAAGTACGAAGTTTGAAGTTAAACTACTTAAGTGAAATGCTATTAAATATGCAGATGTACGGCTATAATAAGTTAATTAAACTAGATGCTAAACTTTCAAAAGTAAATTGTTGAATTAAAATAAAGGTTTTTGTTGACGAAAAGTTCAAGTATGAGAAAACATCCTTCCCCTTTATAATGAAAATATGGCTTGTGAAGAAATTGAAATCATTTGAAAAATATATTTAAAAACTGGTTTGTGTCAAATAGGAGCAATCATATTCTCTACCCTCTCCCGAATGCTATAAAGAATATTGACTAATCCAGAGTTTGGTCCGTAATTCTGTGGTTAGGTTGGGAGGATACCGACTATCACTCCGGAGCTCCCACTACTCCCTCACTTAAGGGCTAAAATTCTTGCATTAGTTTCCAATCAACTGTTGGGGATTCTAATATGTCACCTTAAAATCTTCCAATTCTACATCCAACAAAGTATATTTCCCTGTTTATTTGCACCCAATTCCATTGATGAAATACTCTCCCATGAAATCAAATGTGATTCTCCCTTTATTGTAGAAATCATATCACCTTTTCAGAACATATATTTCTCAATACATTTTAACAATTCAATTAGTCAGATCGAAATGTAAATGAAGATCACAGTTCAAATCATCACAAATTATTTACATTTAAAACTATAGAAAATAAATTTAATTCTTCATAAAACTATTTCTTCAAAGTAGGGAGAAGGATAAAGAAAACTACTCAGAATTCATTAGACGAATACGATAAAACATGGATTTCATATTTAAAAATAAGTTTACAAACAAAAGAAATGAAAAATACAACTTAACTTACTCCCAAGCAAATTCCTAGAAGTTCTCTCCAAGCCTTTCCCTCTTTACAATCACTTTCAATTTTCTCTTAGAAATGTAATGAAGAAGAAATTTCTCACCTTCCCTCTCCTCTTACAACACTAGAAGAAAATCTCCTATTCTCTCTCTCTCCCTCTCGCCACATTCTAGAAGTTGTTGGCTACCTCTCCTCTCTGAAAAGAGTCTAAATTCCCTCCAAAATTCAAAAGTCAAAACTTTGAATTCCAAAAGATGTGCCTCCTTGATCCAAGAGTCAAATCCCTTCAAATTGGAACCTTCCATAGTGTCTAAATGCATTGAATCACTCCATGGGGTTCTTAGAACAAGTGTCTCTTTGAAAATTCACACAAAATTTGTCTCGAACCGCCTTAATTTGAAAATGTCACGTTTGACGCATCATGCGCTAACGCTCTAGATTTTGGCGCATCATCCGCCAAACCCCAAAATTGGTTGTTTTTGCTCCAAATTTTGCTCCTTTTGCTATTTTTTCTCCAAATGCCTAAAAATGATATATCTGCAACAAAAACACAAAAAAACATTTCTTTAAAGTGCAATATCACAAAAAATAGGCATTAAAAGGGTACTTAAAACAATATATTATTTTTGTGTATCAATGACCCTTCCAGAATTTCAATGGCACGGTCTCGTCTGGTGACCAAGAAAATACTAGAGGGAAAGAAGAGGCTAGAGGGAGATAAGAGAAAGAAGAAACTTGCTTTCAAGATATCAAAGGCAGGTGGGCCGATAGATGACATAGGGTCATCAAACTTGCTTCAAGGTTCTTTGGATGGGAAGAACCTAGTGAAAGATAAAAGCGGGTTGCGCATTCCAAGCACCGGCTCTTCGACCCGAGGTCTTCCGGTTAAACAACATGCGCAAGAATTTGCTGGAGCTTTGCCTTCTGAGGCATAAAAAGATGTTGGGGCTCTGTGCTGACCAGAGGGTAAGGGACTACGAGCACTTCTCTGCCACCTAGTGAGAATGGTGTGTCGTTTGGATGGCCTAAGCTTGATCGACTCCTTAGTATGAGGGTATTCAGCCTTGATGGTTTGGCTTAAATTTTCTTAACCTTTTCTTAAATTTAGAGTTTCAACTTTAGGAGACTGCAGTGAAGGTTGGCCCCACTCATCAAAGAATGCTTTGGAGATGATCTTCAAGATGCAAAGGTCGTTCATTCGTGAGTTGGATGATTTATACCATTGAGGAACAAAGTAGGGGCATTGTGTATCAAAGTTGAAGACAGTGTCGAACAAAACTTTGTTTTCCATAGATGTCATTAAACTGATGCATGTGAGAAGATTTGTGGTGACAGAGTAATAGATTATCGTCTTAGCATTGCATTAAAATTCAACACACACTAAAAAAAAAGAAAACAACCAATAAAGACACCAGTAGTTTTTTTACTTCAAAAACCCAAAAATAGAAAAACTACAAGGTCTGACCCAGTTGAAGATATTCACTTTAAGCTAGAGATTACAAGTACAGTCCCTTATTCTACAAGTGGAGAAAGAGTTACACAATCTCTTAAGCTACAAAGTCATTGCGTGGATGAACTCATTATAAGATGAGGGAGGTGGATGATAGGTATTGACAACAACCAATGCGTGATGGTAGGTGACAGGCGACATCTGGTGGTCGGTGGGAGTTGGCATAAAGTGATGTTGGATTTGAGTTTCTTCTCTAAGCTTTAGTTTTTTTCAGGCTTCAAGCTCTCTCTTCAGACATTAAGCTCTTGGTCCTTTCTCAAGAGGGGAGGTAGGGATCTATTTATAGAGTCATGATTGCAATTTATAAAGAAATATGAACAACTCTGATCGGACGACCATGAGAGATTTCATTAATCAAATGAAGTTTGATGGACATTTGATTGTCTTAAAGATGTCAGAATTGAGTGATCTTAGGCTCGTTAGATTCATTTATCAAGACACTCAATTCAACCATAAGCTAACCAGATTCGACATCTGTTTTACCTTTAAAATATGTCCAGTTTCCAAAGTTGTTTAATGACATGATCTGAGCTTGATTTTACTTAAATTGGACCAATTATATGATTGGGTTCGTCTTGTCGAATCAGTCAGCTTGACTATAAGTTTGTTGAAATCGGAGCTTGAATGACTTATCAAAGTTTGAATATTTCTTGCTCAAAAGACTATCTTGAGATCAGTGTCATCATTTGAGATTTTGTGTTGAATGTTGAAAATTTGTTGATGACATATCACATATATTAAAATTTGTAATGATAATAAAATATTTTAGAAGATTCTAAAAGGCAAATTCATAGTTTGATTTATTTTAAGAAGATTATATTTTAAAGGGTTGCTAAGGATTTCAATTTAAAAAAGAAAATAGATGGGTCAAAAAGTTGAAAACATTTTTAGACAATAAATTTTTTATTCACAAAATCCAATATTTTCCTATTTAACTAATATGCATAGTCTTAAAAATCTTTATTTCTCTTCTCAGTTCCAGTCTTTGAAGAAATAATCTATACTTAATTAATATATTCATTACTTACTTTTTATGTCTTCACACTCCTTATTCATTAGAAAAACAACTTATAAATACTCCTATTTCCATGTGTATACAGGGGCATAATCTGTCTCTATTTTGAGTTGGGGTAAACTAGCTCCTAGACCCAAGACAAAAAGATATTTCAAGAGAGACAAAATTGATATTTTATGAGGGACAAAAAGCCAAATTATATTTTCTTAAAAGTAAAAACTGAATTTGAGGAGGGAGACACATGTGGAAATATAAGTTAAGAAAACTTTCACTTGCATAATAGTACTTTAAATAAATTAATTTAAAGCAAGTAATATTATATTTTAAGCGGAGGCAATTTTTTTCCTTTTTTTTTTGTTTTGTTTCTATAAATATTCCATATCAAATATCCAGAAATTCCGGATTTGGGATTTTAGCTCTTCCCGCTCGATTAACGGTCCCTTGCTCCCTCACTTCCCTTCCCCCGCACTCGTATTACGCCAATTGTTGCCATTGAACGATTCAGATTCATCAATTCAACTGATCCTTCTTATTATTTAAACCCTTCTCAACAGTTTCTGCAACCGCCTCTTCGGTCTCTCGACAGCGCTTTAAAGAACCGTAAACCCTCTCGAAATTCCAACGCAGTATATATAAATCTACTCTCTCAATTCTGTATTCATCTCTTAGTCTCCCTCAGATCATGAAATCAGAGATGGGTGTCCCGAGAAAGCCGACGGTGGGATCCGACGCAGAGGTTTCTGCGCCCTGTATCTCCGGCGGGGTCTGTGGAGACGTTAGGAAGAGAGCTAGGGTTCTGAGTTGCGGCTTGGAAGAGGAAGATTCTGTAAAGCGAGCTAGGCAGGGATTCTTCCTCGACCGAAATAATGCAAAAGTCTTCTCACCAATGCCACTCTCCATGCGTCCGATTGGCCCCTTACCCTCAGCAAATCCAATTCCACAGTTCTTCACTTCTCGCCCATTGGCGCCGCTATCTCCTGCTCTGCCGGCGATTCCTCTCTCGGCGGTTCCGTTACCTCGGTCGGTAGAGTCGCCGTCGTCCTCCACGTTTCGCTTGGGGTCACCGCCCCTGAAGCAGGTGAAGGACGAGAATAAGAATGAGGGCAATAGTTGCAGGCAGTTCTGGAAAGCTGGGGATTTCGAAGGCCAGACTGAAAGCTCCTCTTCTTTTTCTGGTAACGGACCACTTGCTTTGTTTAGTGTTTTTGGATGATTTATTGTTTATTGTGTTAGATAGCTGTATGATTATGATTATGATCGTGATTATTATACAGTTTTTAATAACTTCTAAAATGATGCCATCCATATCACTAAATTACAACCAATCTTAATACTCCGGAAGACATCAATGATTTTTTAGTTGTTACATAGCTAATCAACTAAATCAATATTTTAGATAAAATGATGTTCGTACAATAATATATAATTAGTCTAATTATTGATTAGTAAATATTATTGATTGCACGTGACAGATAAGTTAATTGGTAAATTTATTATTTTTTTTTTCTGAATTTAAATCCTGACCAATACTTGTCATTCCAAAAAAAAAAGGTATTTATTAATTCTACCTAATTAAACCTTTTTAATTAACATTGTGCTTAATTAATATATTTCTACTTGGCATAATTAATAGCCCGTTTAATTAATCTATTTCTGTTAGCATGTCTATAAATGACATAAATGATTATTTTCAATTGAGAAATTTTTTTCAAAATAAAAAGATAATAGTTTATTCCACTTATTTTACATATAAATTCAATTAAATGAAAGAGGGTTGTACGTGATCGGATCTAAGAAAAGTTTTGGTTCGGTCAGTATTTATCTCATCTTGGGATAAGACATTCATATACAACGTGTAAGATCCATGATATCTCTAGAGTAGGAAGATCCCGATGATGCAAATTAATACTAGCTTCATTGTAAAAATTTGTTTTGTTAGGCTTTTTATATTTTATTTTTCGATCATTTGAAGCCTTTTCTTTTTTTCATTATGGTGCTTTTGGTATGCCATATTCTTGCTAAATTTTAGTTTTATACTATCGTGATATTAGTGATTCCAATTCCTTTGTCTCTAGTAGAGTTTAAGATAGGGAGCAAACACGTCTCATTTAATTTAATATTAGATATTCCTACTTTAATATGACTTAAACCAAATCAGAGCAGTAAGTTAATTTATGTTGATTTTTGATCATTTAGGTCAACCTAAAATGGACCCAAACAAATAACCGAGTCAATATACTTAACTTGTATTAGGCCCGAATAATAATCAAGTTAATCAAACCTAAAATTTTCGAGTCGATTTAGGTTAAGCTTTCTGAATGCACATAGCCTCACACTTTCCCCATCAATCACAAATTTTAAATACTTATATATGATGACTATACTTTTATGTAACATATTATAATTATTTGCGATGGATGTTTTTTATATAGATATTCTTTTCTTTTAGTTGTCAATATTTTTTTGTTGTTTTGTTTTAAAATCTTAATATGCCTTTTAGATGATTGACAAAGCTATTTTATTTATTCAGCTGATATTGATCGTGTGAGGGTTCACCCAAAGTTTCTTCACTCAAATGCCACAAGCCATAAATGGGCTCTAGGGGGTAAAATTATTCTCTTAAAAGTTAATTTCAATAGATATAGTATCTAGTCATTTATTAGTTGATTATTAAATTCTTATTTCTGCTCTCTAGTCATTGATTAGTTGATTATTCCATGTTTATTACTATTGCAGCTTTGGCTGAGCTTTTGGATAACTCTATAGATGAGGTAAATAATTTGAGCTTCTTCAAATCCTTGGATAATGAGATGTTATTATATTATCTGAAACACTTTTAGATCTGTAATGGGGCTACATTTGTCAACATTGATGTGCTGGAGAACCCTAAAGATCAAACTAAAATGCTCTTTATTGAAGGTATGTGAACATTCTTTCAGTAGTGGTTAGGATGATTTGACTATATTATGCAATATTGTTTAGGCAAGCCAACTTATTATGGTTTTGCTGCATCATGCTTTTTCTTTTTGATTCTTTAATTCCTTATTATAACATGATTTTGGAACTCTATACATCCCTGGATGATATATAATGAAAATTAATCTTTAAAGCTTATCTCTTTATTAATTGTTATTAACGCTTAGGATCTGTATGATGTGGCTACAGCTTCCTAAAAATGTGGTTGTAAGTTAAGGTGGAGAAAATAAATTTTTGGAAAGCTACGGTGAGAATTATAAATATATATTTTTTCTGAGAAAAATCAAACAAGTTAAAAAAAATAGCTTTTCACCATAAAAATCTCCAAAAAACATCAGAAGTTTAGTTTTTTAATTAAAGTTGTGGAGGCGGTCTGAAATGCAAAGCAGACAGAAAATTGTCCCAAATAGGCCCTTAATTATCATTAGTTTATTTATAACTAAACAAATATATTGGAGAGACTTATTAACTTATCAAAAAATTTTATTTGTAATGAAATTAAATGCTAATTATCACATCATTGAAACTAATTATTAATAATTAGTACATCTTTTAGGTTTTTTCTGCACTGTTTTAATCATTTATTTTTTATGTGAAGAGTTTTAGACATGCATGTGCTTGTTGTATGGGGTTGGTATAAATGCTAGACTTTAGTCTTCAACTTCTTAAAACAAAAATTTAAAACATATATTAATGATGTTATAACTATTTGCTTTTAAATTTAATGGTTCCTTTAGACAATGGTGGTGGGATGGATCCAGACAAATTGCGACAGTGCATGTCATTGGGCTATTCAATGAAAAGCAAATCTACAAATACAATTGGTCAATGTGAGTAATTTCCTTAAATCACTTGCTTTTTAATGAATATTTCTAACTTATCTTTTTATTTAATATTGATCATTTTTTCTTGAATGCAATCAGATGGAAATGGATTTAAGACAAGCACAATGAGGCTAGGTGCAGATGTGATTGTATTTTCACGTTGTCAAGCGAATATGTGGTATTTTCTTTTTTTATCAAGAGCCCCTTAAAGTCTACTTATATTTAAATAAATTTAGAGGAAATGTTTGGTCAACTTGCATAAAAATCTCTCTCTTTCTTTTTTTAGGAACCAAATAAAAGAGTTCTTTTTGGGAACTGAAAGATAAATTGCTAGTCACGCACGTAATGATAAAAAAAATAAAAAAAACTCTTTATATTATATTGCTATTTTATGAGTTATTATAATGTTTAATGCCTACTTGATTTTTTTTTTTTCCTAGCTAAAAAAGTAAAGTCATTTTCTTAAAATATTCTCTTAGTAATAGAATGACATGTTGTGCATGAAGTTCCCACGAGAATGTCTAAAGAAGGTTTCTTATATGCAAGTTTGTGCTATTTCTGCTTAAACTGTATTATTAATGCCTTGTTCGGATGAATTTTAGTTTTTATGAAAGTTTATTTAAATGTTGTTTTAAGAGAACTAGTGTTTTAAGGAAGATATAGCTAAAGTTAATGTTATCGTTTGATTAATCTATTTTTTGTTCTTTTTTAAATGAATATATTGTTTATTATCTATTTGGGTTAAGCTTTTAGACGTAGTTTTTTCATATAAATGAGTAAAATGCCTATATATTTTTAAAAATGAGAAAATATGTTTTTTATTAATTTTATGAAAAAGTAAGAAAAATGTGAATATATGTATATTCTTGTTTATTTTAATTAAAAATAATTGTCCATATATGAATTGATATAATACTTTCTTTGCAATAACTTAGCTCGAAGATTACAAAATAATAATAATAATAATAATATAGTATTCTACACAACAATAAAATATATGACTTTTAAATTTTTTTTGTGCATTATTTATTAAGGCTAATTAGCTGAGGCTGCTTTATGTTATGTTTTCTTGTTATTTTTCCTTTGAATTCTTGTTCCTAGTGTCATCTAGGGTTTGTGCAGAGATGATCTAACACTCAAATTGTAGATCAAGCTTATATTTAGTTGTTTTGCTTATAAATTGATAAACTTAGCCCTAATTTAGGGTTTCCTATTTATTTTGTGTCATTTGTTCACTAATTTTGGTTTCAATATGTATCAAATTAGTATTAGAGTATGATATTGGAGATAACAAGAAAAGTTGATGCTTTGGAAGAAAGATTGGAAGAAGTGGGACAACTAAAATTTGGGATGGTGAAAAGATTCTCAACTATAGACGGAAGGTTTTCTTCCATGGAAAACCGATTTGAGGGTGTAGATGAGATGTTGAGGAGGCTTATCAAGATTTAATCCAAAATCCTGTCTGTGACTTCATTTGTGAACCTTAACCAAGGGGGGATGACTAGAGATTCATTGACAAAGTTGAAAGGGAAAGGAATCAAGCTAGAGGAACATGAGGAAGAAAACATCTACATGATTTGTTCGAGGGGGAATTTTAAAATTGCTTGTTGGAACGCTTTAAAGCCATTCGTAAAGAAACATGAGCACGTTTATGCCTTAACTCAAGAGGGAACTATCATGGAATATTGAGAGAGATTCGAGCTATTATCGAGATTGTTGAGGGAAATTGTTGAAGCATGATTTGAGGGGAACTTCATTAGTGACATAAAAGTCAACATACCGACAAAACTTTGATCGTTGAGACTATGGATTGAGAGAGATGATAAAGCTCGCTCAGATAATGGCAGACAAGAAATAAATGAAGAAGACCAACAAAAGCGACACCATTGGAGGATTCAATAAGAGTACCTCGATGACCATGACACTGAGGACCCATGCATTGTCATTTCAAAAGGAGAAACTAAAGAGAGAAAGCAGGGGCCCTTCCCGAGGTCAATTTTAAGCACATCACAGAGACAAAGGTGCATGACAAGAGTGAACATAGATGATATTTTTGATGTGATGAGAAGTATATCCCAAGCCATCTATGCAAGGAGTGCACGCTCCAGATCCTTTGGTTGCTTATCTATGGTACTCGCTATTATTTCATTTAATTTTCTTTATTAATAGGCTCACAATTGGAATTTGATCATTATGGTTTGGTGCAAATATTGAGCCCAAGGCAAGCACTCCTCATCTTAATTGTCAAAACAATCACAATGAAAATGAATCCCTCTTTAATAAGATTATTTGAAAGTTTGTGAGAGAGAGGATGTAGACAGTGAAGAGTCGGAGGAAAAAATGGTGGAGGAAGAGAAGCACTTTTAGTTAGATATATCAAAGGTGTCATTCAAATCAGTGGTGAAGTTTACTCTAAATCATATCATGAAGGTGAGGGGGTAGATCGAGGAGAAATTGGTAGTGGTGTTGTTGGATAGCGAAGAAACCCGCAATTTCATCTCAAATTGGGTCGTGGACCAGCTAAGGCTAAAGCTGTTGAATATGATAATTTTTGAGGTCGTGATTGCGACAGGAAAAGTAGATAAAAGTCGTATTACTGACATGGATTGGGTGGTCTGAGTGGTCCAACCCACGAGGGATACCTTTGATATGAATCTATCAAGCAAGATTCTTATTGAGGATTCCTTGAGAGTGATGATTTAATTCCTATTTTAAATGGTATCACGATGTAATCGTACTTCTGAGGATTAGATGAACACATTAGTTCATCTCTGAAGTGCTTCTGCTAGCTTTGGCAAAGCGAACCTCATCAGAGATTGCTCAAATGCTACTAGAGTAGTCCTTGTATGAGAAAAAGCTTGAGGCAGCCCACCTACACAAAGGAATTTTATCATGCACATGACAAGATGACCCAACTTGGAATGTATTGCGGGTATGAATATACCCTTCTTAGGCACATATGGCTAGGCAAGCTGACTTCCTTCCTTTGAACTTGGGAAGCACTTATGTGATTTTGGGAATAAAGTAACTATTTATGATTGCAGAGATGAAGGTGAATTGGAAATCCCTGACCATGGAGATTTGGATTGAGGGGAAGAATATGGTGCTAAGAGGAGATGTTAGCCTATGAAAAACCATGGTATCACACAAAACCATGGCCAAGATGACACAGAGAGCATCGTAGGGCTATTTAGTGGAGCTACATAGTATAGGGGAGACCCAGACGCCGTAGTTATTGAAGATTCCAAAGTGTGTTCAATAGCTTCTACATTGGTTTTCTTACATCTTTCCACTGCCTGACACTGAAGGAGCACAAGCATGCCTTTACATTAAAGGAAAAAGTTCTTTCTATTAGTGTCAAACCATACCGATATCATTAGATTCAGAAGGATAAAATAGAAAAGTTGATCTGAACAAATGCATACAAAACTAATAGAGGAAAGTTGAATCCGATTGAACGAAAAAACATAATGAATATGCCCACAAAAATTTTATGCAACGAAATACACTTTTAATTACCTTCTCAGCTTCACGCATAAATAGTGTCTTAAGAATAGACACAAACAACACTCAAAAACAAAGAAATTAAGAGTTATTATCTTTACTAAAACACAGTACACACTCGCTCGATCATATCATAAAAATGATGCTTTTAATGAAACACAATGCTTGCGAAAAATCCCCCTAAGAATTGAAATCCAAACTACCATTCATGCGATTTGATACCTCGAAGCCGCCCCAAACAAGTAATAAGCTCATACAAGTTTGAATTCTGAATATTAATTTGTTTTATTCTTTTTTTAATTATCATTCAGGGTGCGTTTGGGTCGACGGTGTGATGCCACATCATAATTTTTTCTTTTTGTGAAAATTATGTTTTGCCAGTTTTTTTAAATAAACTGCAGTTGAAAGCTACGTTTTGCCACCAAACCCGACTAAGTGTGAAGATTGCTAAAAAACTGCGACATGACCTTTTTTCTTAAAAAAAATTGTAGTAGCTACCATAGCTTTATGAATAATATATTCTTCTATAGCATCTTTATAGTTGCTTCTTCAAATTGTTGCAGTTGCCACAAACAAACCCCAGAAGAAGCTTGTGTTAAAAAAGTTGCGGTGTATAAATTTTTTTTTTAAAAGATCAAACCGCAACTTTCTAATAGTCTAATTGCAAAATTCAATTTTTAATTGCAGATTCTTAAAGAAGCATGTAAAACAAAATTTTGTTAAGTAAAAAATTAGAAATACACCCTCATTCATTAGAGAAAATATTATGTTCGGAATTCTAATATACGAACTCTAATTAAAATTTGACGTATGTTCTTCTCTAAAGTAGAGAAGAAGAGAGAAGCTCAAAGCCCATCTCACTCAGAGTACAATATAGTTGTAAATGTACTGACATTTTTCTTGAGTAAAATCATATTATAGTCTGTGGCTTTCATATGAAATTACGTATTTAAATATTTTTTTATTTAGTAGTGCTAAAGAAAATCTCTAATAGTAAAACCATGCAGTACTAAACATCTTAATATTCCGCTACGTTCACGGGAGCCGTGAGGATAGTGGACCCGATGAAGGCGGTGGGGAAGCCCCCCACATGGTGGGTATCATTTGCGCGGTTGTGGAGGGGAGAAGAAGGCGAAGCTGGAGAGGGGATGGTTTTGGCGGGAGATTTTTCCGTTTGCGTTAAAGCTTTAGGCTAGCTTGACGTTTCGTAAATGGTATTCCTATTATTTCGGTCTTAAAACTTTACTTGTTAGATAGGTAATGGATAGGTTTCGCGTTGCATGTAAAAACCCCAATTTTGAGATTTAGGAATGCTGGCGGGAGGGGACGACAGATTTGTACTTAGGCACAGTAGTCGGAGGGGATGATGGAGGGCATCTGAAGACGCTGGGATGAAGTTGAGAACTACGTGTATCGAGCGAGCTAAGAAAAATGGTCCAACAAGAAGAATCCGGCGAGATTATGGGCTCTGGCGAGGATTAAATGCTTAAAAAATGCACTGTGAAGCTGCGACCTTTCACATGGCGAGGGAAGCCAAGAGGAGGAGGTGAACTGCATTGGGGATAGGGTTGTAAAAGAGCCGAACACCAGCTCCCGCTCGTTTATATTCAGAACACAAAATATTTATTATGTTTGCTGTTTGCGAACAAAAATTTATTTTGACAACCCTAGTTGTACATGCAGTTATTAGGAGTGTAAACAAGTCACGCTTGAGCGAGTACAAACTCGACTTGTTAAATAATGTCACTGTTCGTTTATATATTGAGCTCAAAAGTTTTATTTGCCCGCTTGCTTATCGAGCTGTACACGAGCTATTCACAAAGTCATAAGATGTTATGAGTAGGGAGATATTTAAATTTTATTTATTTATATTAAAATGTTGATTTAAATAAAATATAATATATTTTTATTTTATTTTTATTTATTAATTTTAATTGATTATAAATCTGATCGTTGGTTTGTTATGAGGGTAAAATTAACCTTTTACTCTGCAAACCGCGGACAACGCTCACAAAGCCAGACGAGAATAACAAATTGAAATGAAAAATAAATGGGTTTCATTGAAAGAGAAACTAGATCAGCATTGGAGCCAAATAAATTAGAAAAATAATTTATGGCATTCTCTAAAATACACAACATTATAAATGTTGGGTAATGTGTAGATCCGGTCCACCGAATTTAATTAGCTTTCTAATTAAGAATCCCACCTACCGCTCACCTACCTTCTCACCTATCGCTCACCTACCACATTCCACCTACCGCTCTCTTGATTTCTATAAATAGCCTCTTATGACTTGACAGAAGCCATGCCAAAAGCCACAAGCCAAGCAAGGCCAAACCATGTCCTCTAAGAGAGAAAGAGAGGAAGAGAGAGAGAGAGGAAGGGAGAGACGAAAATATAAATATTTTTTGTAAATGTCGAGATACTCGAAGGTGTAATTCTTCAAAGAAATAAAATCCTCTGCAGCCCCGTGGACGTAGGCAGATTCCACGTAAATCTGTGTGTCGTTCTGGTGCTTTTCTGCATGCAATTTTTCTCATTCTATTTTTCATTTTATTGTCGTCGTTTTTCACAACAACCGGTATCAGAGCCTTGGGTTCGGATCTAAGGAAGAATGATGAGCGGAGACGAAGTGATGACATCAGGGATCAAGAAGTTCAATGACACAAATTTTGCCTACTGGAGGATACAGATAGAGGACTACCTCTATGGGAGGAAACTTCATCTTCCGTTATAGGGAAAATGACCGGAAAAGATGGACGAGGCATAATGGGTGGTATCAGAGCCTTGGGTTCGGATCTAAGGAAGAATGATGAGCGGAGACGAAGTGATTACATCGGAGATTGAGAAGTTCAATGACACAGATTTTGCTTACTGGAGGATGCAGATAGAGGACTACCTCTATGAGAAGAAACTTCATCTTCCGTTACTGGAAAACGACCATAAAAGATGAATGAGGCGGAATGAAATCTGTTGGATCGAAAGGTTCTGGGGTTATTCGATTAACCCTGTCTAGATCGGTTGCCCAACACTGCGGATCTCATGGCGGTTTTATTAGGTATGTATGAATAACCATCGACGAGTAATAATGTGCATTTGATGAAAAAGTTATTCAACTTAAAGATGACGAAAGACGTGTCTGTTGCTCTATACCTGAATAATTTTAATACTATCACAAATCAATTGTCATCTGTTGAAATTGATTTTGATGATAAGATACGTACACTAATATTGTTGGCTTCATTGCCAAATAGCTGGAAAACTATGAGGATGACAGTTAGCAGTTCTGCAGGTAAATTTAAGCTGAAATATGATGATATTCGTGATTTGATTTTGACTTACGGGGTACGCAAGAAGGATTTTGGCGAGACCTCGTGTTCAAGTTCGGCGTTGAATGTTGATTCCAAATGGAGATCACATGACAGGAACTCAAATAGAGGAAGATCAAAATCAAAGTATGGTCAACAGGCAACATGTTGGTATTGTGGCAAGGCTGGCCACATAAAAAGGAACTGCAGGAATTCAAAGAAGAAGGAAAATGATGATGCTAATGTTGTATATGAAGAAATATGAAGAAATACAGGATACAGGATGTGCTATTGCTGACAGTTCACAGTTCTGTTGATGACTGAATACTGGATTCAGGGGCTTCCTTCCATACATCTTCCCGCCGGGAGTTTATCGAAGTTATGTTGCAGGTAATTTTGGGAAGGTACATCTGGCTGATAGAAAAGCTCTGAGCGTGGTGGGGATGAGATACGTTGATATTGCACTCCCTAACAAGAATAAATGGACTTTACAAAAAGTCAAACACGTTTCTGAGTTGAAGAAAACCTCATCTCTGTTCGGCAGCTCAATGAGGGTAGTCATTCGGTAGTGTTCTCATATAACACTTAGAAGGTTACCAAAGGAGCATTAGTATTGACTCGGGGTAAGAAAAATGACACTATATATGACCACAGATTTACTCAGACGTTGACATATAAGTCAGAGGTGCATTATGAGGAAGCAAAAGAAAGTCGATTTCCTGAAAAGTGGTAGAGCGCCTTAGGCAAAAAAATCAGACCTTATACAAACAAATGTTGGAGAACCACAAAGCTATAAAGAAATCTTGCAAGATGAAAATTCGAGCAAGTGGGAACCAAGGTGGGGGAGACGCGTTCCATACCAGGGAATCAGACTTGGGAGCTGGCAGAACTTCTACCTGGGAAGAAGGCATTGCACAACAAGTGGGTGTACTAGATAAAGACTGCGCTTGATGAAGGTAAGAGGTACAGAGCTGGACTTGTTGAAAAGGGTTTTCAATAGGGGCAGAATATTGCTCATGCAGTGGGGGTTGTAAGCAGATACAGGAGTAACCCAGGAAAGAACTTGGTGATACAAGGCTACGTTGACGGTGATATGTCATCTGACGGTATTACTCGTGAGAAACTGAAGTTGTGCTCGAATTCAGCTGGTCTTCTGACATAAAAAACCAGGGCTTTGAGTTGTAGAGGTGGAGGATATCATATTTGAGGAAAATGTCGGTATAGCTAGTAGATGATGCAATCAGTAGGTGATGCAGTTATTGTCCCAGTCTCCAAGTGGGAGAATTGTTGGGTAATATGGAGACCCGGTCCACCGAATTTAATTAGCTTTCTAATTAAGAATCCCACCTACCTCCCACCTACCTCCCACCTATCGCTCTCTTGGTTTCTATAAATAGCCTCTCATACCAAAAGCCACAAGCCATGCCAAAAGCCAAAAGCCAAGCAAGGCCAAACCAAGTCCTCTAAGAGAGAAAGAGAAGAAGAGAGAGAGAGAGGACGGGAGAGAAGAAAATATTGATTTTCTTGTAAACGTCGAGGCGCTCGACGGTGTAATTCCTCGAAAAAATAAAATCCTCTGCAGCTCCGTGGACGTAGGCAAATTTGCCGAACCACGTAAATGTGTGTGTCACTCTGGTGTTTTTCTGCGTGCAATTTTTCTTATTCCATTTTTCACTTTATTATCGACGTTTTTCACAACAATAAAACCTGTTCCAAATGAGGCCTAAGTTTATGGCAAAGAGTTTGAGCACTACACTTCGGTCCACATCGGTCCACACCTATATTTAATTGTTACTTCGTGCTTTCACTCCGATTTTAAATTTTAATTTATTTTATTTTTTGTCTTGCTAACGAGACAACCTCTTACTGTTTATTAAAATTGTCACACTGCCAAACATTTTAGATTTTTAGATTTTAGATTAAAACTGTCATACTAAACTGATTATACTGCAATACAAGTCTTTGATAAATAATGCGCTTCTAGCCTGTTTGCTTAACAAGCCCTGATAATCACTTTTCATGCATGCTTTAGTCCAACACAGAGCATTGGTATCCTGTCCTACACATTCTTGAAGAAGACGGAGAAGCAAGATATTATAGTTCCTATGGTAAGCAAATTTCCTTCAATGTTTTGTTGTTTTTCTATTCTAAAGTTACATTTCCATGAAGTTTCACATCATTTGAGTATTCTTCAAAAGAAGTTGATTTAAATCTTATTTACACTAGGATTTGATTGTCAATGTTTATTTTATTTTATTTTTTATAATGATAAGTTAGTTTCATTTCATCCTTTCATCTATGACTAAAATCCTCAATATAGAATGCTTTTTTTTTCTTTTTTTTTACTTTCTATTAGGCATGTAATTTAACTCTCGACTGATTTATCTTAATGATGCTTATTTCTATCATCAGATTGATTATGAAAAGAAAGATAATGATTGGCATCGAATGGAAAGATCCTCCTCTGTTGCTTGGAAAACAAATTTGGACTTAATACTTCAATGGTCTCCTTATAATAGTGAAGCTGATCTGCTTCAACAGGTATATACCTTCATTACTTTAGATAGGTGGATGGATTAGTATCGTCGTTTTCATCGCATCTTCAGCCAGTACTGAGCAGGCTTGGGTGATTGGTATCTTATAGATTCACAGTCGTCTCTAGAAATTATTTTACAGATGATGGAACTCTATTTTAGATATTCTTGAAATGACTGTAATGTAATAATTTTCAAGTGATTATATTGGTTGAATATGATAAAAATATTGAACTGTTTATCAAATAACATTCAAACTCTTCATAGTTAAATAATTGTTTGTTTACTGCTTAATTAGATGTCATTCTACATATCCCGTTCTTGTAAAATAATTTTTTCGGTCTTCTCATTTTTGAAAGAATTAAATTTTAATCATTTATTGAAAATCCTGAAGAATCCTGAAGCAGCATGATAATTTTGATTTTTAATAAATCCAAACAAAGAGTTATCATAGACTGGATTTAGGATTCACTTTGGCCTTTGTATTCTATAAGGTAGTGGCCTCCTAGTCTAAGCCCCATAACAATTTAGCTTATATTTATCCTGCTTTTAATTGCGTTGGCGATCTTGAAAAATTTTCTGCATGTTGCTGTTTTTGTGTGCAACCACCTTTAAAGGTCTATTTTGGCCAAATTTATGTTTTTGTGTGCAACCACCTTTAAAGGTCTATTTTGGCCAAATTTTTGACAGCTTTGCTTTCCAGATTTCTCACTCAGCTTCATTTAGTTACTGCTTTGATTTCTATTGGGGAAGCTATTTTTCACAACCAGATTTGATAGTCTGCATTAGTTGTAAAACGTTTTCTTACAAAAAATATGTATAGTACTTCTATTGACTTTTGGAAAAGTGACTTTCTCAACAATAATTAAGAGTGAAGTTGATGGGTTAGTCTTGGATTTGTCTTGTTTTAAGATGACCCATTTGTTTTCGGGTTTGCATAGGATGTCGTTGTGGAGGGAGTGGTCGTGAAGGAGTGGAGATTTAGGTTGCAGGAGGTTGTAGGCAAGATTTGGTACAAAGGGTTTTAAGGTATTCTCCAGCTCTGACACTGTGAAGGGTTTTGATAGGAGTATTGAATTGTTTCTCCACTAGATTCTTGAACTTTACAAATTTATTGATGGCTTCATTTTTATGGCGAAGTGGATAAATCCATGAAAAATGAGAGTATTTGTCAACAAAAGCAACATAGTATTTATAGAGTTATAGCTGGGGTTGGGGAAGGCCCTATACATTCGAATGAATGACTTCTAGAGGATGAGATGCATGCGATTTAGATGTAATGTGTGGAAGTTTATGACTTTTAGCTAAGTGAAATGAAGTACATCATAATTTTTTTGGATGAAGAACAAAGAGATGTACTTTTAACTAATGTTGATTGAATCTTGAGAGACGGGTGGCCGAGACTACGATGACGTAAGTTGGTTATTAGTTGAATGTTGCTTGGAGCGAGCAATCTTGAAGGCATTTCAGTTGTAACAAACATTGTATGGGGTAGAATCAATGCATTGATAATTTATACCCCATTGCCGAAGGAAATTTGTGCAAAGGGGTTGAGGCATTCTCCACCTCCATCAGTGTGAAGGGTTTTGATCGGAGTGTTGAATTGTTTCTCCACTAGATTCTTAAACTCAACAAATTTATCGATGTTTTATCTTCATGTTGAAATAGATAAATCCATGCCAAATAAGAGTAGCCGTCAAAAAAAAAAAAACTACTTAGTGTTGCAACCATGAGAGTTGTTTGCTTAGATTGATGTAATTCCTTGGAGGCTTTTTGTGCTAGATTGAGTTGCTTAGTGCACAACAAGGTATAAAGATTATGAAGGCTGATAGGATGTAGATTTGTTCAAATTGTTGTTTTAAACCTACGGTAGCTTGGAGATAGTCAATTGAGGGTATAAGGGATGATGTCCTCGGAATCAAGGTTTGCTTCGGCGATGGAAAGTGTCAACCTTTTATTGTTGGAGATTTATTTGGGTCATACATTAGTCTCTCATTGAAACATTGTGCAATTTGTTCTTTAATTGGTAGATTGGAAATGGCGTTCCAATTTGGACCATATGTTAGAGTCAGTTTGAAGATTTAGGACATAAGGAAGGAGGGTAGGAAATAACTAAATATAGAAAGGTTGCAAGGTGCTGATCTATGTGTGTCCATTTGATGTAATCAATATTTGGCATAGGTTTATCCATGGAATCGACGCTGTAATGCTCTGGACAGCTGCAAAATACATTCCAGAATCCTTAGTAGCCATTGGCTCGAAATAATTTAAAAATTTGGGCCTTTCATGTGGGGTGATTATCAGGAGTAAGTTGTGTGGAGATGGTGCTCTTGATGTTTTCCATGAGGAATTTTAGTTGGCCGGGTATGAGTTCGTCTTCCGGCATTGAGGTAGAGCTGGCATTAGGTGCCGCAACTTTTTTAGAGTTGGATGAAGAATTCATGGTGATATTCTTGGGTTGCCACTGAGCGTAGGCTTTGAGACCATGAATTTACAGCTTCTTCATGACTAAACATAAATGGAGAAAAGAGAAAGGAATAGACAAACATGCAGAAAGGAAAACAGAACTTGTGGAATCATATCTTATTTATGTTCTAGACAAGTAAATTGGTATTTATTGAGGTGAAAAGAGCTGTTGGTTATAACTGAATCGTACAGGAGTATCAAGATGCAGTTATGTTTGTTTTAGTTAGATTATTTTCTTTAGTTTTTACAGAAGCTACTTTTTACAATCATATTTGCTAATGTGCGTTATAAGAATGCTGCTGACTGACATTTTCTTAAAAAATAATGTATAAGCTTCACACATTTTGAAAAAGGGACTTTCTCAGCAATGAATTTATAATTGTTGTTAAAAAAAAATGCAGCAGGGTTACCGTTGGAAACTGTTGGAATTTTGTGGTGTATTATCTTGTTTGCTTAAGAAAATGTAATATTCATTTTTTGTCACATTTCACTCTTGGCAATGCAATCTGTTTCGTGTCTCAATTACCTGTGTTATTATGGATCATTATAGCCTTCTGGTTTCCTTGAATACTAACCACCTTCCTTACAAAACTTAGCATTAAGTAGTAAAAATGCTGTGTTCACCTATATTTTTAAGTTTTTTGTTATTGTCTGCATCTTTGTAGTTCAATTTGATGGCTGATCAAGGGACAAGAATAATTATATACAACCTATGGGAGGATGATGAAGGACAGCTTGAACTTGATTTTGTTACTGATGCTCAAGTGAGTGGTATATGTCCCCATTTTTCTTTGATAATTTGCAGTTATTTATTTATTTATTTATTTTTATTTTTTGTCTTAGTTTGTGCTTTTGAGTAATCGTAGGATTTATGGTCTTATACTGAAATATTTATGATAATTGATTTTGAATAGATTTAATTGCTTCTCTTTTTGTTACTTTTATGGTTCAATTTCAACCAAGAAAACCTATATACACTAATAATCTTTGCATGTTGATTTCCAATGTGGCAGGACATCCAGATCAGAGGTGCTAACAGAGATGAGAAAAAAATTGAAATGTCTAAAAATTTTCCAAACTCGAGACATTTTCTTACATATCATCACTCAATGAGGGTATGATCACCATTATATTGTTCCCATTTTATGGAAAATCAACTGCCGCTTCATTATAACCATAAATATTTGTAAACCAATATTATTTGAAATGCTAATATTATATTAATTGAGTTTCTTTCTACTTATTATTGATTATCATTCTTTCTAATGGTTATCATGGTTAAGTTACTTTCATTTTATTTTCTTATCCTTACGTTTCTCAGTTGTAGGCCTTCAGTTTATCAATCTTCTGTGAATTTTACGATTATCTCTAGAGAGATTGTGCTTTGTTTATTATGTACACTATTTCTCTTATCTCTGTTTGACTTGCTATTTATTATGAATGATAGAGGATACTGTATGCATGCGTTTGAGACACTCAGAAATATCATCAAACAATCAGTATGTTCATTTTTGAGATTTCAGTTGCATAATAAATATCAAAAGCTTTGGTGGAGCAGTAAACATTATGGTTTTTACATGAGCTTCTTATTGTTGCTATGCAATGTGAAAATTCTCGGAAATTTTTTATGTTTGCTAAACTTATCTTTAATGTTGAAATACTAGGGAGGGATCACTTTGTTATTTTATTTTATTTTTTATTTTAATTTTATTTTTTTTATATTTTTACTTAAAATAAAACATGTTTGGTGTGTTACAACCTCTTTAGTTTTTTTTTTAAATTTTCAAAACAACTTTTAGGTTTATCGAGCGCTTTTAAAACAAGTGAATTCATTTTTGAAAATTTAAAAAAGTACTAAATAAATATGTTATTAAAATAAAAACAAATCCAAAAAAAAAAAAAAGAACTCAAACAAGCCTCATTTGTTTTCTTTTATAGTGTCCAGCAAATTATATATTGGATTGATTTGATCTCCCAAGGATTCAGTCCCTATCTGGTGGCATACTGGAGCGATGTTGGATTTCCTAGAGCAATGAAAACAACTTGTAGTACAAACATATTGCTCCATGGTGAAGCACTTTGATATTAAATTTCATGGATGCAATAGGATTTCAATTTAACGGTGAATGGGGGATTGTGTAGAATTCTAATGTGATAAGATCTTGCTAAATGTAAAGAGTATATGATTAGTCTTAAACTATTTAGCTAATATACATGTTTGGCCCAAGCTTTATGTTGAAGATATTATTTGGTCATTCGTATATCATGGCCAATTTGTTCTTCTTGTGTATCACACACTAACAGTAGATTTATTTATCAAGTTGTGCAATTTTTTTTTCTGACAATATTGGGTTAGAAACTATATTTTTTGAAATATGAAATATTTCCATGTAATGATCACTTGGAGTCAGAGTTCATGATTGTCGCGGCAATCTTAATTATTTAAACTAGTCTTATATATTTATTTTCAAACTTTCAACTTCATTTGGAAAAAAACTCTACCATATATTTTACTTGGTCTTCTTGACTATAAATGGATCTCCTTTTTAAATAGTTAATTGTTGTATTAATTACAAATCATGCATAGATTCTAAACCGAGTACTAATATATTGGTTTTTACAAAACTTCACATTGTTCTTGTATACTGATTTTCTATGTTATTATCCTTGCCAGAGTTATGCGTCAATTCTTTATCTTAGACTTCCTCAGAGTTTCAGAATAATTCTTCGTGGCAAAGAAATTGAACATCATAATATCATAAATGACATGATGATGAAAGAGGAGAAAACTTACAGGCCACAACCAGCCCTTGATGGGGTGCCCAAGGATTTAAATGTAAATAATTTATGACTTGTTTTGCCTAGTTCAAATATAATATTGAGTTTTATAGCTAATATCATGCAAAATTTCTATGACAGATTTTTGCTGTTGTGACCATCGGTTTTGTAAAGGATGCAACAAATCATATTGATGTTCAAGGTTTTAATGTTTATCACAAAAATCGACTGATAAAGGTAAGCATAGAGATACTTCTTTGTGCAAGTTATTGCACATTTCATAAGCTTATGTAAAAAAGTTTCAAATGAACTAGTTCATCTTAATACTCTATTTAGTCCGATGACATCAACTTGGCGACATGGTTTGTTGGGATCAAGGTTAAAAATTAGATCAGACTGGTCGGTTCAACTCGTTTTTCTATGAACCGGGCATATGGTAGTTATCGGTAGCCTCAAGTATCGCTTTTGCATCATCCTGTGAAAACTAATTTGATTGGTCGGTCAAATTGGTGAACCAATTAACCGTTATCGATTATGAAGAACTGGCCGATCTAAATTAATTTTTTACTCACCTTTAATTCTCAACTAAATAGTTAAAATTTTACATATAAGATTTAAGTTTATAAATTTTATTATAAATAAAAAAATTAAAATCTAATTAATATGAGTTAAATCAAAATAATCCATAGCATGCTCATCACCATTAAGGTGACTTATAGTTCAAACAACAAAATTAGTCTTCTTTTATATAAACAATAAAATGCTAAATCTACTCCATGACATGGGGCTAAAAAATTGTGGATAGTAAAATTTAAGTTGGGTTACAAAATTGAAGAATTGACTATAAGAATAGGGTCTAAAATTATTAAATAGGTTTGTTGACCCCACTTTTGATTGAGGCCTAGTTTCTCTTTTTTTTACAGTCTAGGATCTAGCCATAGGACTTTCCTGTCGACTATTCCTAGAAAACTAGCGAAAGAACTCTCCCCGTTAGAAATTCCGAGCTTTTCTTCCCTTGACTTGAAGTTCCGCATAGTAGTTTTGGTCTCTAGCACTTAGTAGGTGGGGCTACTGTGAAGAAGCTCAAGGAGAATCCCTGTAGGACTGTTGGCCTCAAGATTGACTGTACACGTTGACCTGGCATCGTCGCACTCCGCACCGTCTTGTTTAATTGAGCTTGAGCCGAGTTTTTGACGTGATTCGGGTCGCGACGCATTTTTATCATGATCGTCGACGAGGTTGCCTAAACAACTTCGGTTGACGAAACGGACTGCGCCGACGCATCTGGAACGTCGATTTTGCCTAGGGGGACGTTCGTTTCACTACGACGACGTGTCTGGGGAAAGATACACATTTAAGTGTTAATTATAATAATAAATAATATTTTATTATTATTATTATTATAATTAATAACTTTTATTAATCCCCAACCTAATTTTATTTTTCTTCCCCTCCCTTCTTCTGTGTCTCGATCCCGTGGCCTTAAGGTTGGCTCGTTCGGTCGCCTGGCCCGCTCCCTCTTCGTGCCGTTGGAAAGGCTCGTTCGCGCGTTCGCCTCTCGCACGCCCGACCGTAGCGCAGGCTCCCCATTCCTTATCGAATCTCATCCTCTGCCGCTCTCGCAGGCCCGTATGGGGCGTCTGGTCCTCCCGTTTCCTCGAGCCGAATACAATCCTTTGATCGCTTCTTCTCTTTCTCTCGTCTATATAGGACTCGACTTAGAGCATTAAAAAAAAAAAAAACTCTGAGAAAGGGAAAACTCTGCCAAATTTCTTTCTCACTTTCTTCTTTAATTCCTAGTGCTTGGGTTGACTTCCTCTTGCTGTTGGAAAGGAGTTTGAGTTGGGAAATATTTTTCTGAAACTTTAGTGCTGGATTCTGCTTTAAAGAGGTACTCCTCCCCTCCTCTGTGCCTTGCTCCCTTTCGGTTTCTCTTGGCCAGGCTGCTGGGAATAGTTTTCTTTGGATGGTACAACTTGCTAGGCTGGTATTGCACCTATATTTTAAAATATTTTTTACTTGAGCATCTAGAAATGGAAATGTGAGCATGTTCTAGGAGTTAGACTTGATTACTTCCTTAAAATGGTGAAACTAGGCATGTTTCTATTGAAAGCAATTAGGAGGGTTGAAACATGGCTTTGAGACAATGTTAGCTCCTCTTGCAAGCATGTTAGGATATGTATCATGAAGCTTTTCATTTATTCTTATCTAGCATGAGACATTAGAAGGTTTATTTGGTCTTTCACGCATGTGGG